GCCTATAGGTTGTAACCAACTTTATCAACAATATTATTATTTAAATGGATAACTAATAAATTAGAAACAAGCTCACAAACCTGCTGGAAATCATGGATGAGCTTGTTCTTTTCATCTATCATGCTATCGCACGCACCTTTTTGTTCCATCAGCATCTACAAGGTACACGTATGAATAAGTGCACCAATCAAAAAAACACCATTCTACACTCTTAGCCCTTTCAATGATCAAATCAAGATACTGCAATTCTGCTGTTGCTAAATTCATTGTGATTGATACTCACTCCATTTAAGTCCTGTGGTATTTCTTTAGAAAGAGCATATTCCCATTTTTTGGTAACCTGGTAACAGGAGATGACGTAAAACAGTCAGCATGGCAATACACAGCACACAATCACCAGATTTTTGGAACCTTACAACTAAAATTCTAACAAATCAGTGAATCAAAAAGACATTCATTTTTAAATAATTATTCAGCACATAAAGGCTAATAACAAGCTACATGTATAAGTGCACCTTCATAATGTGTTTGTAGAGCTGAGGGTGCAAAAATTCAGTTAGAGACGAAAGAGGTGAAAGTGGCAACTGCCACCTTGTGTTTAGAAATCCTCAGGAAACTACTTAAAAAAACACAAAACATTTTATGTAACAAGACTAAAAAGACTAAAACAAAACAAGAACTTACCTCCTCAAATTTTTCTGTAGCAGATTTTGCCTCTGCTTCCAGTTTCTCATTCCTTAAAAATAAGGAAAAAATAATAACAAAAAATCATTACAATATTGCTTCTATCATCAATTCCTGAAGAAATATATGAAGTCTAATAGAGTTGCAAGTTAAGTTATAAAAATAGTTGTACCACAGGGGTCAATTCTAAATAATTTTTTGTGAAACAATCGAGTAACCTTTGTCTCCGTTGTTCTTCCTCTTCCAATCTCCTCATAGATTCCCTTGCATCAGCTGCAACATGTACATTGGTCACTAGTTCTGTGCCATCAGATTTGAGCTTGACCAAACGCTACAACCAGGAAGTCAAAAAACCATTATCATAATGTAACTAATAATTACCTGTATAACCCAACTTCTTTGAATACTCACTGATGCTGTCAGAAGTCTTAGTACTTTTGCTTGAATTTGCATTTCACATGTTTCAACCCACTGAGACAAAACAAGTGCCAACACCCACCAGTGCCATCAGTTTGCACTTTATTTGCGAACTGATTAAAGCCATAAAATAAGCATCTTCAAGGAATACACTCTTGTCTGTCCCCTGTGGAAATTCCAGATGTAATCCCTCATGCCTTCGAATTCCAATTCTAAGTATCTCCTGCCCCACACCTTCGAATTTCCAGTTCAACCCCCCTCCCCCCAACACTGCCCTTGGAATTACAAAAAGCCATCCGTGGTATGGTAAGGATAGTTTTTGGAATCACCCATTTAGCTGTGGTAATTCACACATTTTTTAGCTTTATTTTCTTTTTTGCTATTGCTTCATTGGCACGAAACAGCTCAAACCCGTATCACTCCTTCAAATCAAGTACAATCAAATAATATTGACTTCACCTGAGTTGGAGAAGCGATACAGAGCTGTCACTGAGATTTCTAGTTGCTCGATATATGCAATTTAATAGTCAGGCAGGATCAAAAATCAAACAGCCGCAATAAAAGTTCTTATTGTTCTGTTTTCCTCTTGTTTCCTTTGAAACTTGCTGGGGAAATCCTTGGCCCCAACCTTTCGTGAGAGCTCTGACAAAAGTTACGCTTAAAACCATCTGCTTATAAGTCTTTAAATTGTTGCTTTGAAAAACGTTTATAAAAATTTTGTCACAATGCTGTTAAGAGTCTCACATTGTGATGGAGTAAATCCTCAGTTGTGGGAGAGATAAATAAAAACTGCACTAAAATCAAATCACCATTAGATCTTACAACAAAAAGCATTTTCCAAAGAAAAAGTCATCACATACTTTAACATACTCTCACGAATCACTCAGTAGCCCGAGTATCAGCAATTGGCGACAAAATTGTTGAGACATTGTACTCAAATAGGGTAACTTCTGAAGCATAAGAATCCACACCCCTCCCCTGTCCCCTCCATTCAAAGTTGGAATGTTTCTTGTTTTCTAAAGGTAGCTCGAACAGTGGCACAACATTGCATGGAGGGGATGGGAGAGGAAACGTTATCTTTTCCCTTTTTGAAGTCCGGAAAACGTCAAAAAGTCAATTTAGGTCAAAGTGTCTCAACTCATTTTGTTGCCGACTGAGGTCTCCCTTAGGGCTTAGGGGAGAGGAGATTTTAGACGAGGGATGGGGAGGTGGGGGAGGGAAGAAAGAGGAGAGGTTTCTCTCTCTTGGCTGTTCACTTCACTCTTACTCCTTTTCCTCCAGAAATGCCTGGTACTTAAAAAAATCACTCAGTTCTGGTTCAGAGGCCGTACTTTATGCGTGCCGAACCTAACTGAATAAGTTTGACATGGAGCGACACTGGTGCAACATCTTATTCAGATGGTGCACCGTGTGTCAAGCCTACGTTAAGTTCGACAAAAGTTCAACAAACTCTGGGGAACTTAACGCTTTTCCGCACCAAACTAAAACTGCCGTACTAAATTGATTCAGACCGACGCCGCTCTTTTGCCGTACTTAATTCATCAGTTAGGCTCCGCACATGCACATGAGTGGAGTGGCATCTCAACCGGGCCTTAATGAAATGTTTATGTTCATCAGTATGAGGATTTACTTGTCTTTTGAGTCATTTTAACGATAAAAGTATTACAAATAAATACACTATTCATGTCAGTCACCTGCCGGCTATCTTCCATTTGTTTTCGACTTTTGAGTGCATCTTTTTCCGAGTCCACGGGCTTCTTTTTTGCGGCATCTTCCCCACTTGCTTCTCTAGACGTTAAAATTACATTAACTAACTTAACAATGGTACGTAATACACATAAAATACAAGTTTAAAGGACAAATAAGATAAACTCAAGGCAACCTTTTCGCAGCTTCCAATCGTCTCTGTATTCGTATTCTTCGGGCTGCTATACGTTCCTCGGCAATTGCAGAGTCTACAGATGGGCCTTCGTCCTCCTCTTCTTCATGGGGGTTCATGTTTTTAAATATAAAGAAAAAAACTAACAAATTTTGTCCAAAAACTGTCTAAATCTTCTCCAACTCTTATTTATGTTGCAGCGTTGCTCTTGGTAACCTGGTGATCTAAAACTAGTGTCCAGTCTTTTTCACAACACATGACCCTCGGTTCCCTTTGGGTTCCCGGGTTCCAAGTGCCACTAAGTCGAAAAAACATGGCGCCCAAACTGGACTTCGAAGTCATGAATTTTTATTCCTGTTTCGTTCTACTATTACCATTTTTCGGTTTATTACCGATTTTATCCTAGGAGTTGTCTCAGTTATTCGCAGCTGTATAATTGCAGAGCATCAATGGAACTGTCTTCTTATAAATCTATGGAATAGTATTATAAAGCTTGTTTGGTCTTATTTCCCGGCAAGTCCACAAAGCTAACTCGCAAATATTAGCATTTTAAAAGCTTATCATTCAAGAACTTAACCTTATTGTTCCTGATGTCTGAAGGGGATCAAGCAATGCCTAAAACTAAGCAATCGCTTCAACACACTGGATTCAAAACAATTGAAACCATTGGACGTCTTGTTTTACATGTAGTCCTTCGATTTTGGAGATTTTGTAGTGCGGCAATGTTGACGTTGCTTCTTCTCTACTGGCTTTATGGAGGAGTCGTTAGCTTCTTGTTATTAACTGCAGCCGTATTTGGCGCTTTGTATCATTATCAAGACACCCTTCTCTACTTCCCAGAACAGCCTGTCACATCAAGAGTCTATGTTCAAAATCCAGCAATTCTGGGCTTTCCATTTGAGAATTTGTACCTCAAGACACAAGATGGCCTGAAAATTAATGCTGTGTTTCTCAAACATTCTCCTCAGTTTCAGAGCTCTGTTCCTACTGTGTTGTTTTTCCATGGCAATGCTGGGAACATTGGTCATAGATTAGCAAATGCAAGAAGTTGGTATAGTTATTGTGGTTGTAATGTTTTTCTGGTGGAGTACAGAGGTTATGGAAAGAGCGAGGGCTCCCCTAGTGAACAAGGTAAAAGCATTCAAGACCCAACCACAAAATAACCTTTGTTTTGCCCACAGTTTACTTAATGATTAATTAAAATTAATCAACAAATTTTTACCGGCATGTGGTTAATTAGCCTCCTATGCAGGCGTTTTTAGGGGAGCTTGTATTTCATTCCTCCCGAACCAAAGCCTGCTCAACCGAGGACAACATTCCTTTCCCAAGCTTAGCCAATCACATTGTACTTTCCAAATTCCGGGAAGCTGACCTTGACCGCAAGGTACCCGATAATTACGCGATCTGCATTAAACTTTGAGAAACCTTCATGACCTCTAAATTATAAATGTTAGACTCAAAGCAGCAAAAGTAAGATTTACTCAGTCAGATTTTAGAATATATTCTCTGTACACTGCATAACCTTAGCTTAGCGAAGGAAAGAAAAGAAGGAAAAAGGTAACTCTAGGGTCATGTTCTGGGTCATGTTTTTACACTATCACGAGCTTATGAGTCGTGTTTAGCCTGTCAACACTTTATTTAAAAACCGTTGATTGGTCACTTACCACGCGAATATAACAATGGAAAAGGAATGTTATCCTCGGTTGAGCAGGCGTTTGTGGGTAGGGATAAAATACGAGCTCCCCCAAAAACGCCTGCGTGGGAGGCTAATGGTTAATGGGTAACAGGTCTTTTCACCCAAAAGTTGATTCGCTGATGGCAGTTCACCTGGACCGACATCGATTCACCCTATTTTTATTGATCATTCCTTAAACTTGAAGATAGGTGTAAGCGTGAAAAGACAGTGGCCTGGAGGGGTGGGGGGGGGGGCAGTGAGGGCGATTTGGTTTGTGGAAGATTTTTTTCCTGACATACAGCGGTGTAGGATTTTTTTTACCTAGCATTATATGTCGTGAAAGATTATTTTTGCCAGGTATTCCCTTGCAAGAATTTTTTCCCCTTGAAATCAGTCTGCAGGATGTTTTTTCTGAAATCACCCATACCCTCCCCCACTTCAAAAGTCAAATGGTCGCCCCCTCATTTGATCGTTCTCAGCAATAGAATCCAAGCTTAACTGAAAAACATCTTTGATATTGAGTTGTGCAGTGTTGCGAGGGTGTTAAACATTGACTTTGGGACAGTAGGTGTTTTAACATGTTCAATATATTGTTGAATAGGAAATTGAGATAAAACCCAGTGTACTTCTGAGCGGAAAACCCAACACACTGTAAATCTCTTTACCATTACTGATCAATTTACCATTGATCCATATATGACGAATTTCAGTGCTTCATTCTTAAGAAATATATTGTTGATTAATTGAAGGTTTTGAGCTGGACTCAGAAGCTGCATTTTCATATCTGATGTCACGCACCGATATAGACACAAACAAGATTGTTATATTTGGACGATCCTTGGGTGGAGCAGTGGCAATTTCTCTTGCATCAAATGAACTTTATCTCGACAAAGCATTTGCTCTGATTGTAGAGAACACCTTCACTAGCATCCCTAGCATGGCTAATCAACTTGTCATGAATGGACTTAGCAAGCTACCTTACTTCTGCTTCAGAAATAAGGTAAACCTTGGTTACATGTAGATAGTTTTTTAGTCTGGTTAACTTCTGTTCAACACTTTGTTTTAGCCATGATAGTGCACAAAAACTAATAGCACCCAAGCCATATTTAATTGAACCCTTGATGTGTGACTAGCTCTTGTGACTGACTAATACTGGTATACCCCACCAGGCATGGCTAAGTTTTTCTGTGCCACCAGCAAGGTGTCTGGATATCTGATGAAACACTGAGTTGAGACGCTGTTTAGGATGTTTAAGATACTGTCTAACAATTCTAGGTTTGAAATTTTTTGACAACTCTCGATCATAAGAAGCTCTATCAAACAACATGGATGTGGTTTTCTTTATTTCTGATCATAAAAGTTGAAGGATGCCTGGAATAACACCTTAAGTATTTTTGATAAAATGCTAGATTCTCCTTAGATATTTCATTGTTTGTCCATGATAATAAAAAGGAAAATTTGACATTTGACAAGAAATCACTTAGGGTCTTATTCCATGCATTCACCCGTATAGTCTGTCTGTCAATTGTTTTGATACGTTTGTGCAGAGCCTTTTCAAGTTTTGGCCAGAGGTGTTATTTCAGTGATAACATTTAAGGATTTATAACAGAAACCAAAAAGCTATTTTGGTAGGTTTATTCCATACATGAAAAAATCACACTAACCATGTTCTGTGACACAGTTTGATTCTCTGAAGAAGATTCGCAAGGCAAGAGTCCCAACGCTGTTTCTATCGGGATTGGCTGATCAACTAATACCTCCCAGAATGATGACGAGTTTATACAAGGTACATCTTAAAAATGTCATTGAAATTTAATTTTCTCATCCTCATCACATGCATCTTGAAATCCTTAAACTTTCTCCAATGCAAAGTCAAATTTCTGCAAGTATTTTTACATAACTTGTCAGAAATTTGATACTTTAAAAGAAAGGTTGATTTTTTAAGCAGAGGGGAAAAAATGCTATCAAACATATTTCAAATCCAGATAAGAAGTTTAAACAAATTTTTCCAATTTAGAAGCCTTTGAGTACATTTCCATGGTTGACCCCATGGCTTTCAAAGTCCTGGAACTTTTACCGAAACAATCATGGTAAATTATTGGAGGATGCATGGTCAAGTACAAACATGTATGCGCAACAACGATTTACTCTATGCCCAGAAAAATAGCCTCTTTGCTTTCATTTTGTACTTAATATCATTAGGTTTGAATGGTTTTGTTTGTGTTTCTTTCCTAGGCATCAGGATCATGCTTAAAGAAAATGGAATGCTTTGATCATGGCACTCACAATGAAACCTGGCAATGTTATGGATATTTTGATGCTATTTCTAGATTCTTATGTGAGGTATATATATGAGCTTAAAAAAGCTGCAAAANTATTCCATACATGAAAAAATCACACTAACCATGTTCTGTGACACAGTTTGATTCTCTGAAGAAGATTCGCAAGGCAAGAGTCCCAACGCTGTTTCTATCGGGATTGGCTGATCAACTAATACCTCCCAGAATGATGACGAGTTTATACAAGGTACATCTTAAAAATGTCATTGAAATTTAATTTTCTCATCCTCATCACATGCATCTTGAAATCCTTAAACTTTCTCCAATGCAAAGTCAAATTTCTGCAAGTATTTTTACATAACTTGTCAGAAATTTGATACTTTAAAAGAAAGGTTGATTTTTTAAGCAGAGGGGAAAAAATGCTATCAAACATATTTCAAATCCAGATAAGAAGTTTAAACAAATTTTTCCAATTTAGAAGCCTTTGAGTACATTTCCATGGTTGACCCCATGGCTTTCAAAGTCCTGGAACTTTTACCGAAACAATCATGGTAAATTATTGGAGGATGCATGGTCAAGTACAAACATGTATGCGCAACAACGATTTACTCTATGCCCAGAAAAATAGCCTCTTTGCTTTCATTTTGTACTTAATATCATTAGGTTTGAATGGTTTTGTTTGTGTTTCTTTCCTAGGCATCAGGATCATGCTTAAAGAAAATGGAATGCTTTGATCATGGCACTCACAATGAAACCTGGCAATGTTATGGATATTTTGATGCTATTTCTAGATTCTTATGTGAGGTATATATATGAGCTTAAAAAAGCTGCAAAATCTGGATCAGAGCCGATAGGATCTAATCAAACCCTGTCAGTGTAACTGCATTTCTTATCTTTTGTCACCTGGTTAGTTACAGGTGTTGATTAAGCCCAGTCCAATCCAGATTTTGTTGAGTTCTCTTAGAGCATTCTCATTTTGCAGTTAACTTGTTCAAGTTGAAAGCTAACCGTTTATAATAGAGTGCTTAACCCTACCACTGTTCTTAGGTGCTAATCCCTGTATTCAACTCTTTTCACTGACCTTAAATGGATACCTAGAGCTGGTCCCTGTCATTCCTCAGGCCTTTTTTTTGACTCTCTAAAGGATGGATACTGTAAACTGCTACTTGTCGAATAAGCCCCCAATTATAACCCCTCCAGCATTTTTCAGTACCACTCTACTCTGTGAACACTTTTTAGCACTGCTCTTAACAGTGTCCATCTTGAACAGAGTTCATGTAGGGGTCACGAATGGTACCTCGAAAAACATGGGTCTCAGAAAATTTTGGCAGGATCTCGAAATCTCGGAAGCGTTTTTGACAAGTCTCAAAATCTCGTTTTTGCATGGTTTGTTTTTACTTTTTTTGAGTCTTGAAACTTTTTACCAAAGAGTCTCGGTCTCGGATTTCTAACTAGGATCTCGGCGAGTCTCGGATTTTACCATTCGCCACCACTTCATGTGTTACTCTTCCACCAAACATACATATGTGGCACAGAGGCAGCAAATCTTAATACACTCTGTAATGTAACACTTTTGGTTCTCTAGTGTTTTCATTCGTATTTTTTGTAGGTTCATCAAGCTAGACAAGCTGGAGTTATTGGACCCCCAGTTGGTGACAGCCCAAGTGTGTCTGGGGGAGCTGCTAAACCAACTGTCCTTAATGTACATGGCCGAACTGAAGACATTTAATTGAAATCATCTGGACTTTCATAAAAAGAAAACAATGTCAGACTATTTATCATAGTGTAAAAATGTCTGGTTCGTATTTACTTCTCTGACTGGTAAAAAGTGACTTTAGTTAAAAGTTACAAGGGAGAAGTTCTCTACATCCAAACCCTTCCAACTTAAGTATGAGGATTGTAAATATTTTTTTGGTCAGTAAATATCCATACTCTTGTGCAGAGGTTTGTGCCTTGGCACCCTTACCTTCTCCTTGGAAATTCCCTTTAAAGGGGTTATGTCATGCTATTTGCTATAGTCGTTTTCAAAAGTTGGGACGTGTCTTC